TTTTCTTTAGATTTCTCTCAAAATATTTCCATAACTCTGACCCTTATCCAGGCCTAAAAACCATACTTCCAGAGATTAACTAGAACAACTGTATTGTCATCACTTCTCTAGGATCTTTTCCCAAAATTTCCTTCCTAACAGCTAGTTAAGGGAAAGAATTGTACTTTTTAAATGCCTCTTAAATATAAAAGGACAAGGCTGACTTATGTAGTCTTGACAATTAACAATTACAGAATTTGCTTTCCTATAGGCTCTAAAAAAAACCAAACAGCCTTAAGATATAACTTACCATACAATTTCCTCTTAAAGTGTATGATTCTGTGTATCCTCATGGTTGTGCACTATCACCACTATCTAATTTTAGGACTTTTTAATTTCCCAATAAAGAAAAGTGCACTTATTCCTATAGCCTTTTAAGTTAGGCACCTTCATTCTTTTTCTTTTAAAAAAAATATATTTACATTTATCAATTTCATATTACTTGAAACAATAAATTAGTCAACACCAACATGTCTGAAAAATAATGCTTAAGAAAAAGAGACTCATTAAACTAACCTTTCACAAATTTTCAGAGTTCCCACTGGGGCAAAGAGGATGTCAAGCTCCTACCAATGCTCCTGTGCCTTGGGCAGGTATGAATGAAGAGGCTTTCTTCAGTTAGAGCAGGAGTTTGGTCACTACCAGATGATACCTCCTTACGCCAACAAGGGGAAGGAAGCAGCTATAGGGCTTGACTTTGGAGGTCATCCGGGCCAGCAGTGTCTCCCTTTCAGCCCCGTGGTAAATGAGGTACAATGGCAGGGAGTTACTGTGGAAGGAAGTACACAAGTGGTAGTACAGGACCAAAGCATCTGCCATTTCTGTCTGCCATAGAAATCTCTTGCTTGGGGCTGGTGGTAGGTTGTTAAAGGCTATAGAAGGAATGGGAGATTTGTAGGGAGGTGATGGTAGTTGGTACATTGGTCAAGAAAAGCTAGAGGAAGTAACAGTTATGCTCAAAACTGAAAATGAGCAATCAACATTGAGAAGGGCTGAGGGAGAAGTTTTCCAGATATGGGGAACAGCATAAAGTCTTGAGCCAAGAAAAGGCTGTCAAAAGCTGGGAAGAGTGTGAGGAGAGTGTTTTGAGGTGAAGTTGCAGAAATAGAAGGAGGCCAAATTTTGAATATCTCTTAGGTTGTAAAAATTGGTTTATTTTTTTCTTTTAATTAGTAATTATTTAATTTTTTAAGAGAGAAGAAGGGAGAGGGAGAGATAGAAACATCAATGAGAGAGAAACATCAACATTGATCCATCTGCCTTCTGTACACTCCCTTCTGGGGATGGAGCCTGCAACCTGGGCATGTACCCTGACAGGGAATCAAACCAGTGACTTCTTGGTGCATGGGTCCATCCATGCTCAACCACTGAGCCATACCAGCTGGACTACTTTTTATTATATTTTTATTTTGTTATTATTTTATTTTATTATTTTATTTATTTTCAGGGAGGAGTTGGAATGCAGTCCCCCACTACCACAAATTATGCAGTCGAGTTTCCTACATTTGGGGAAATCGCAAGAGTCAGCACATCCGGGGTGCAAAGGACAAGCCTCCCCCTGGGAAAACCACCTTCATGATCATGGTATCTCCCCTGCCAGATAAGTTGTTTTTTTAAAAATTTTTTTTTTATCCTCACCTGAGGACATTTTTTTATTTTTTGTTCAAGTAGAGTGGGAGGGGGAGAGAGGAAGAGAGAGAGAAACATCGATGTGAAAGAAACACATCGAGTGGCTGCCACCCGCACGACCAACCAGGGCCGGGGACAAACTGCAACCGAGGTACATGCCCTTAGCGGGAACCGAACCCGGGTCTCTCGGGACCGCAGGCTGACGCTCTAACCGCTGAGCCAAACCGACCAGGGCTTTAAAAATTTTTTAATGATTTTTTTTTTCTTTTTTCTTCTTCTTTTTTTTTAATCCTTACCCGAGGACATTTTTCCATTTTTTTGCATAGATAAAGTGGGAGGGAGAGAGAGGAAGAGAGAGAGAGAGGGAAACATCGATGTGAAAGGGACGCATCAAGTGGCTGCCACCCGCACGACCAACCAGGGCCGGGGACAAACTGCAACCCAGGTACATGCCCTTAGTGGGAACCGAACCTGGGTCTCTCCAGACCTCAGGCGGATGCTCTAACCGCTGAGTCAAACCGGCCAGGGCAATGTTTTTTTTTTTCTTTATTGATTTTTAGAGAGAGAAGAAGGGAGAGGGAGAGAGAGATAGAAACGTCGATGAGAGAGAATATTGATTGGCCGCCTCCTGCATGATTCCCACTGTGGATTTGGCCCACAACCTGGACATGTGCCCTGAATGGGAATTGAACCGGCGACCTCTTGGTGCATGGGTCCATGCTCAACCACTGAGCCACACTGGCTGGGTGGTAAGTTTTATTATTATTATTATTATTTTAATTGATTTTTAGCTCTGGCCAGTTTGGCTCAGAGGTTAGAGTGTCGGCCCAAGGACCAAAGAGTCCTGGGTTTGATTCCAGTCAAGGGCATGTACCTCAGTTGCAATTGAATTCCCAGCCCTGCTTGGGGTTCTACAGGAGGCAGCCAGTCCGTGTCTCTCTCACATCAGTGTTTCTCTTTTTCCCTCTCTCTCTCCTTTCCTCCCACTCTATCTGAAGATAAATGAAAAAATATCCTCAGGTGAGGATTTAAAAAAAAAAAATGATTTTAAGAGACAGAGGAAGGGCCCGGCCGGTGTGACTCAGTGGTTGAGCATCAACCCATGCACCAAGAGGTCACAGGTTCGCCTTGGCCAGTTTGGCTCAGTGGTAGAGCGTTGGCCTGTGGTCCAGAGAGACCCGGGGTTCCGTTCCCACCAAGGGCATGTACCTCGGTTGCAGTTTGTCCCCGGTCCTGGTTGGGTCGTGTGGGTGGCAACTATTTGATGTGTCCCTTTCACATCGATGTTTCTTTCTCTCTCTCCCTCCCACTCTATCTGAACAAAAAATGGAAAAATGTCCTCGGGTGAGGATAAAAAAAAAAAATAACAAAAATTGAATACTCAGGTGTAAAATACTTGCAGAAATAAAATTTAAAAAAAAACAAGGTCACAGGTTCAATTCCCAGTCAGGGCACACGCCCAGGTTGTGGGCCCGATCCCCAGTGGGGGGCATGCCAGAGGCAGCCATTCGATGTCCTCTCTCATCGATGTTTCTTTTTTTTTTTTTAATTTTTTTCCCTTTATTGATTTTAGAGAGAGAGGAAGTGAGTGGGAGAGAGAGATGGAAACATCAATGAAAGGGAACATTGATTGGCCACCTTTTGCATGCCCCCCATTGAGGATCAGACCCACAACCTGGACATGTGTCCTGACTGGGAATCGAACCAGCAACCTCTTGGTGCGTGAGTCGATGCTCAGCCACTGAGCCACACCTGCCAGACTCTCATGATGTTTCTAACTCTCTCTCCCTCTCCCTTCCTCTCTCTTTAGAATCAATGAAGGAAAAAAAAAAAAGAGCCCCGGCTGATTTGGGTCAGTGGTTGGAGCGTCGGCCTGCATTCCAGAGAGACCCAGGTGAGGATTTAAAAAAAGAGAGAGAGAGAGGAGGGGAGAGGGAGAGAGAGGAAAATATGATAGGCTGCCTCCTGCACGCCCCCTATTGGGGGGATCAAGCCCCCAACACCGGCTTGTGCCCTGCCAGAGAATCCAACTCGCATCACAACCTTTGGAGCTTGGAAGGATGCCCAACCAACTGGGCCAAAATCCCAGGGCAAATTTTTTTTTTTTAAGTGTAATGGAAAGCTACTGAAAGGTTTTAAGCAGGGTTATTGCATGATCTGAACTACATTAAAAACTAATCATAGGCTTTGATACAGAAAATGAATTACCTTTTAGATTTTGAAAAGGATTCAAATGCAAATGACAAAAAATGACAGAGGAGGTTGTATCCCCTTGTGTGAGTTATAAATTCTTGCATAAACTAAAATCACTCTTAGAAAGCTAGATGCAGACTTTCCTTTTCATTATTACCCTCTGTTCTCACAAGAGAAATTCAAACATTATTTCAGTACTCGATCCTGAAGTTATGGAGTTTAAGAATAATTTTTAAAATTCTTGTAAATGAATACTTAGACAAAGGTGTGATAAGCGCATCAAAATGTATGTTCCTCAAAGTCAGCTTGGTCACTCCCAAGCCCACATTTTACTTCAATTTCTTTCCATCCTTGGGGCCCAGGTCCCTTCAGTATGCCCTTTAGCTCCACTGACTCTTCCCAAACTAGTTGCCCATCTTCAGTCTCATCTCAACCAACCACTGTCACCTCCGGAATTGGAAGCAATTTCCACGGGATGCTGTTTTAAGCTGGCACCACCCTAATAACAGGAGATACTCTCAGGAGGGTTCTTTCCCGTGGGGACCTGGAGCTTGGCGGAATGGTTGTGAGGTCTCAAAAGAAGTCATGGCCCTAAAATCAATCTCAGGCCTACTCAGGCCGAAGGAAATGAAACAGCACTCCAATAACCCTTCTTGCACACTCTTCAAGACGGTCTATCATTCTTTTTAAAAATTTTTAAAAATCCTCACCCAAGGACATTTTTGCATGTATCTTCAGATAGAGGAGAGAAAGAGAAAGACATGAAGTGGTTGCCACTCACATGACCCCAAATGGGCCCAGGGAAAAACTGCAACTGAGGTAGTGCCTTGAATGGGGGCTGAACCTGGGACTCTCCGGTCCGCAGGCCGATGCTCTAACCACTGAGAAACTGGCCAAGGCTAGCCGGTCTGTCATTCTTCACATGAACATCATGAGGATGTAACCCGCAGGTACTCGAAGAACACACCCAGACGCCCAACATCTGCCAATGCGCCTGCGCCAGGTCCGCCGGGGGCGGAGCTCGCGTGCTGACGTAGGCGGGAGCGTGTTTGCACGACGTTCCAGAGAGGAACCGTCGCCGGGCTTCGCGCCTCAACTGCCGGTCCTGTGTTTTTCTGGGGACACTGTTTTAAAAAATCTTAAAGGCGGTGTGTTGTGCTTCCGGGGGTTCTGTACTGAGTTGCTCCAAGCAGAGCATTTGTGAGTATATGGTACTGGGGCAAAAATGGTGGCTGGCGGCAGCGAACACTCCAAACGCCGTTGGTGTCCCAACTCCTACTGATAGACTGGTCCCTGCCCTACCGTTCCACACCCTTTCACCAGGAAGTTCTTTATTTTTTAAATAATAGGTATTTATTTTTACAGGGAGAGCGGATGGGAGAGAGAGAGAAGCATCCATGTGAGAGAAACACTGATCAACATCCCTCCGCTGCCTCCTGCACGCCCCCTACTGGGGGTGGAGCCCACGCCCGGGCATGTGCCCTGACCCGGAATTCAAGGGGAGGACACTCAGTCTAGGGAGCCCCACCAGCTGGGCAGGAAATTCTTTCTTTGGCTTGCCCTCAACCCCCGCTCCCACGTGCTGCAAACTCAAGAGACAGTTTCTCAGTTGATCAGTGTGAATAAGTACATCGTAGCTGTGAGAGGTTTCTAGGGAGTTTAATTCCATTGAAATTGCATTCTCCCTCAGGTTCTCGAAATGTCAACGGTCAAGGAGCAGCTTATTGAAAATCTAACCGAGGAAGATAAAACCTCCCAGCAGAAGATCACCATTGTTGGGGTTGGTGCTGTAGGCATGGCTTGTGCAATTTGTATCTTAATGAAGGTGAGTGACAAGCCCATTCTGTGGCTGAAAATCAAATAAGCACTTTTAGGTCTTGTTGAGGAGTTCAGGGTGGCAGGGCTAAACCCTTGACAACAAATATGTATCCTCTCATCTGATTTTGACACAATTGAAGAAACATTTATTTGGCGTTTCCCATTCCTCGACTACTTTTAATTTATTTAATTGATTGGATCATTTTGTTAAATAAGACATTTGCTGTTGAAACGACCCATGAATTGTCTTCCTTGAGGAGTAATGGGTTGAAATCATATTTCCCAATGGCTTCCACTATAAAATTTATTTTTAATTTTTATTTTTTTTATTAATCCTCACTTGAAGATATTTTTCCAATGATTTTTATTTTATTTATTTATTTATTTTTTGCATTTATCTTTAGATAGAGTGGGAGGAAGAGAGGGAAGGAGAGAGAGAGAGAGAGAGAAACATCAATGTGAGAGAGACACATTGACTGGTTGCCACCCACACGACCCCAACTGGGGTCAGGGACAAACTGCAACCAAGGTACATGCCCTTAGCGGAACTGAACCTGGGACTCTCTGGTCCTCAGGCTGATGCTCTAACTGCTGAGCCAAACCAGCCAGGTCTCCAATGATTTTTAAAGAGAGTGGTGAGAGAGAGACAATGAAAGAGAAAAAAACATCGATGTGAGAGAGTCACATGGATTGGTCACCTCCCGCACAACTGGAGCCAGGGACGGAACCTGCAACCCCAGGTACATGTCCTTGACCAGAATTGAACCTGTGACCCTTCAGTCTATGGGCCAACACTCTTAATCACTGAACCAAACCCACCAGGGCTCCACTTTAAAAATTTTTAAAAACTGTGTGATTATTACATGCTCATTATAAAACAAAAAGTACTATAAAATAACAATGGAAATTCTTTAATTTTCCTTTCTGTTTCCAGAGTATCTTTTCATGGGCTTCTTGGCCATTTGTGTATCTTCTTTGGAGAAATATCTATTTAAATCCTTTGCCTTTTTTTTTTTTTTTTTTTTTTATCCTCAACCGAGGACATTTTTCCATATCTTGTTCAGATAGAGTGGGAGGGAGAGAGAGAGAGAGAGAAGCATCGATGTGAAAGGGACACATCGAGTGGTTGCCACCCACATGACCCAACCAGGGCCGGGGACAAACTGCAACCGAGGTATGGTGCCCTTAGTGGGAACAGAACCCAGGTCTCTCTGGACTACAGGCCGACGCTCTAACTGCTGAGCCAAACCAGCCAGGGCTAAATCCTTTGCCCATTTTAAATTGTTATTTTAGTTGCAGGAGTTTTAAATTTTATTTTAGATATTAACTGCTTATCAGATACATGATGTTCAAGTATTTTCTTTTATTCCCTGGGTTTCCTTTTACTCTCTTAGTTGTGTCCTTTGGTGCACAGAAGTTTTTTATTTTAATGTGGTTCAGTTTATCATTTTTGCTCTTGTTGCCTGTACTTTTGGTGTCATATCCAAAAAGTATTGCCAAATTCAATGTTATGAAGCTTTTCCCCTGTGTCTTCTTGTAAGAATTTTAAAGTTTTAGGTCTTTAGATCTGTGATCCATTTTTAATTAACTTTGTATATGGTATAAAGTAAATGGTCCAACTTCATTCTTTTGCATGTAAATATACCTTTTGTTGAAAAGACTGTCCTTTCCTAGTTGAATAGTCTTGGTGCCCTTGTAAAAGTTCATTTGATCATATATGTTAGAAGTTATTTCTACGCTCTCTATTTTGTTCCATTGCTTTACATGTCTGTATTCTGTTACCTCACAGTTTTGATTATTGTAGTTTTGTAATACGTTTTGAAACCAGGAAGCATAAAACCTCTAACTTTGTTATTTTTCTTTTTTTTTAATTTACCTTATTATTTTTTTTACAGATAGAGTGGGAGGGAGGGAGAGGAAGAGAGAGAGAGAGAAACATCGACATGAAAGGGACACATCGAGCCCTGGCCAGTTTGGCTCAGCGGTTAGAGCGTCGGCCTGCGGTCCGGAGAGACCCGGGTTCGGTTCCCGCTAAGGGCACGTACTTCGGTTGCAGTTTGTCCCCGGCCCTGGTTGGTCGTGCGGGTGGCAGCCACTCGATGTGTCCCTTCACGTCGATGTTTCTCTCTCTCTCACTCTTCCTCTCTCTCCCTCCCACTCTATCTGTACAAAAATGGAAAAATATCCTCGGGTGAGGATAAAAAAAAAAAAAAGAAAGGGACACATCGAGTGGCTGCCACCCGCACGACCAACCAGAGCTGGGAACAAACTGCAACTGAGGTACATGCCCTTAGCGGGAACCGAACCCGGGTCTCTCTGGACCACAGGCCGACGCTCTAACCGCTGAGCCAAACCGGCCAGGGCTAACTTTGTTATTTTTCAAGATTGGCTATTCGGAGTCTCTTGAGGTTCCATGTAAATTTTAGAATGTACGCTTGTTTCCTAAAAAAATGCCATTGGGATTTTGATAGGGGTTGCACTACATCTGTAGATCATTTTGGGTAGTATTGCCATCTTACCGATATTAAATCTTTTTTTTTTTGGTACGTGCCCCTAGCAGGAACCGAACCCGGGACTCTCTGGTCCGCAGGCCTACTCTCCAACCTCTGAGACAAACTGGCCAGGGCCCAATATATATATATATTTTTTTCCTCACCCGAGGACATTTTTCCATTTTTTGTACAGATAGAGTGGGAGGGAGAGAGAGGAAGAGAGAGAGAGAGAGAAACATCGATGTGAAAGGGACACATCGAGTGGCTGCCACCCGCACGACCAACCAGGGCCGGGGACAAACTGCAACCGAGGTACATGCCCTTAGCGGGAACCGAACCCGGGTCTCTCTGGACCGCAGGCCGCGCTCTAACCGCTGAGCCAAACCGGCCAGGGCCAGGGCCCAATATTATATCTTTTCATTCATAAACTGGGGATGTCTTTCCATTTATTTGTGCTTCTTTAATTTGTTTCAGCAATGTTTTGTAGTTTTCAATGCATAAGTCTTTTTCTTCTCTAAATGTTTTAAACGTGTTATTTAATCTTTATAATAACCTTAGGAGATGGGTATTGTTATCATGCCCATTTATAAATGAGAATACTAAAACACAGATGTTAAGTAGCTTGCTCATAATCAAATGTCCAGTGGGTGAAGAGGCCAGAATTCAAATCTTGGCAGTCTCCACATAGATCCGTGCTCTTAAAAGCTTTACTATATTATTTAGACAATTTTTGGAAACCTGTAAAGGGAGATGACAAAAAGAAGCAAAACCAGTTAAATTCCAGAACCCCAGAAATGCTTAGGAATTGGAAGTACCAGTTGTCTCACAAGGTGGAGGTGAGGATTTGTTGGAGGCTTATATGATAAGGAAAGCCACCAGATTCTCTTCTGCACCTTTATCAACTAGGCAACCATCTCCCACATCCCAGCAGACAAGGGAAAGCAGTTTATTCTTTGGAGAAATTAAATCCGACACTCTCTGCCCTCAGGGAATTAAGGACAATGGAGGATAAACATCTTATTGAAAGCAGTAGAATTAATTGAAAGTCTACATGCTAGACAGGCAAGAAGGCTCTTATTCCCACTGGGCTTCTAAAAAGCTGACTGTCAGACAAAGATAGGATATTGAAAAGAGAAGAAATTACAGGGTCAATCAGGAGGTCCAGTAGCTGATTGACATTTCAGTAAGAAACAAGGAAGAGCAAGCCCTAGCTGGGTAGCTCAGTTGGTTAGAATGTTGTCCCGATACACCAAGGTTGCAGGTTTCATTTCTGGTCAGTAAATAAATAAAACGTTTAAAAAAAGAACAGGAAGAAAATTATTCAGCAGATAAAAGAAAAATCCTAAAACTAAAGGACCTTGCAGATATAAGGAATTTACTGAGTGCTCAGCATAGTGAATTGAAGAAAGAAAAAAGCCTACTCCAAGGCCTATTATCATGACCTTTCAGAACTCCAATTATGAGAAAGGTCAGTTGTTGGAGCCTATTTATTTATTTACTTTTAAAATTTTTGTTCTTTATTGATTTTAGAGAGAGAGGAAGGAGAGGGAGAGAGATAGAAACATCGATGAGAGAGAACATCAATTGGCTGCCTCCTGCACGCCCCCCTACTGGGGACTGGGCCCACAACCTAGGCATGTGCCCCAACCAGGAATCAAAATGGCGACCTCCTGGTGCATGGGTCGACACCTAACCACTGAGCCACACTGGCCAGGCTGAGCTCATTTACTTTTTACTAGAAACTACTCTATTCTCTCAAATGCGCAAGTGAAACAGTATACTGTTCAGCACCTTGTTTTCAGGTCACATTGATGTGTATTTTTGGGATAAATGGAAAGTGATAAAGGATATTTAAATATGCATATTCATATAGTCCATTGACTTAAAGACAAAGGAGTACCATGACACCTGCATATGTCATTCAAAGGTGGACTTTAAAGGGTTTACAAGGATGTGTAAAGTTTTTAGGAGTGGGTAGCCATACATCCTACCTCCTGGTCCTGTACATAGCAGAGTGGCCATAGGTATTTCCCTTAGATTGATTTTTAGTTTCTTGATCTCTACTTTACTTATGGTCACTCTGGAAGTCCCTGGAGAAAAGTTTCCAGTATACTCATAACTGTTCTTAGAAAATTCTGGCAAAACAAGCCCAGGGTCTCTGTTTAGAATTCTATTTGAGTAATGACTCTCATAGATGTAGTTAATTCTTTAAAAATAAACAAAACTTGTAGGGATTATTTGAATTGTCCTTGACAAATAGAGCTAGAAATATTCTCTTGGTCATAGGTTTGTCTGGTCACTGTTAAGAAGAGAGATAAATCAAGTTGGAAATATAATTTAAAACCTGGCAATATTGATTATTAAATTATTGTCACTCAGCTTTAAATCCAAATTTCTGTACTGTGCTTTGTGATGCTGGTGCTGGATCTCTGCTTAATCTTTTTCTTCTTTGCCAGTTAGGTCCTGCCAATAAGGGCACTAGAGGGAAGTTGGAAGGCAGAGTGGGAACAGTGACTTTTTTCTTCCTGTTGGCTTTTTGTTTTGGTCATAATCATCTCAGCTGCAGCCCTTACCCCCAGTGATAGAAGTTGGTTCTTGTCTCCAGTTTCTTTTCTTTCTTTTTCTTTTCTATTTTCGTGTGTGTGTGTGTGTGTGTGTGTGTGTGTGTGTTTTCACCTCCAGTTTCTTTTGGAACTCCAGTATTGGCCTCATCTTGCCCCTTCAGTGGTATCAACAGCAGTCAGGTTTTGTCTCCTTCAGAGTTCTGAGAATAGCGCGCCTTGAAGCACCCCATTTAGTTTCTATCTCTCTCCCTCTCCCTTCCTCTCTCTCTAAAATCAATAAAGAAAAAATATAAAAAACCAACAAAAACCAAAAACAATTCCCTATATTAAACTCCTTCTGTTGAAATGCTTAGAGTGGTTTTCATTTTTCTATTCCAGACTCAGACAGATACACAGACTGATGTAAAAATGGATCTGTAGACATGATCTGGTTTTTTAAAAATCAGTTATCCAAAAGTGTTATGTGATCCTTCTGGATGAAAGTTCTTATTCTCTTCTTATTCCTGATATATTACACATCATTTAGTAAATTTTAGAATTTACAGTTTTCCAGTAAGACCAGATTGTACTTGATCCGAGGAAAAAAAAATAGTTAAAAGGGACTTGGGCCCAGCTGGTGTGGCTCAGTGGTTGAGCATTGACCCACACACCAAGAGGTTGCAGGTTTGATTCCTGATCAGGGAGCATGCCTAGGTTGCAGGCTCAGTTCCCCAGTGGGGGGCATGCAGGAGGTGGCCAATCAGTGTTCTCTTTCATTGATGTTTATATATCTTTCTCCTTCTCCCTTCCTCTTTCTCTAAAAATCAATAAAAAAATTTTTTTTTTTAAAAAAGGAACTTGGCTGCCTTTTCCTACTGCTCACGTTTGGAATCTGGCTGCTGGAATCTGAGGGAATACACTCCTTCTATATAGCTTTATTTTTGCTCTTGTTGTTGAATGTGATGAAAACCCAATTCAAATTAGAGTAAGCAATAAAGAGACTTTATATTGTTCATATAACTGGAAAATCTAAGAGTAGAGCTAGTTTCAGGTACTACTAGATTCTGGAATTCAGACATATTGATATGCAGTGTTTATATATCTTAGTTTATATTTCCTCTATTGACTTAATTCCTAAGCAGGGTCTTCTATGTGGTGGTGAAGATGGCTATACAGTTTGTTCTTAGAGTCTTATGTCATTCAAAAAGCTATGATTCCAGCCCTGGCCGGTTTGGCTCAGCGGTTGGAGCATCAGCCTGCGGTACAGAGAGACCCGGGTTCGGTTCCCGCTAAGGGCACGTACCTCGGTTGCAGTTTGTCCCCGGCCCTGGTTGGTCATGCGGGTGGCAGCCACTCGATGTGTCCCTTCACGTCGATGTTTCGCTCTCTCTCTCTCTTCCTCTCTCTCCCTTCCACTCTATCTGAACGGAAAAATGTCCTCGGGTGAGGATAAAAAAAAAAAAAAAAAAAAAAGCTATGATTCCAAAGAAAAATGAGACTTAATTTCCTATCTTCTATTTTCAAACCTCACTGACATTGTGCCCATGTGTTATTTCTGGGCCATATGCCCATGAACTAACTACTGTGACCAGAAGGAAGGATGGAACAGTTGATTGGGTCTGGTTATATGCCCATCCACTGCTAGGTTGGAGGACCAATGATAATTGTACTGTTGGGATCCACATGGAATGGATTTCCATAGGTGGCTACCTTTCTATTTTGGCCATAGGATGCATACAGAAAACAACTTCAGCCAATTTGGAAATTAGGCATATGGGTTAAATATAGTAAAATCATTTGAAAAAATTTCATAACTTTTCATTGGTTTTAATTTTTTTATTGATATTTAGTGAGAGAGGAAAGGAGGGGAGGATGGAGGATGGGAGGGAGGGAGGAAGAGGGAGGGAGGAAGAGGGAGGGAGGGAGGGAGGGAGAGAGAGAGAGAGATTGCTTTGTTGTTCTACTTATTTATGCTTTCATTGGTTGTTTCTTATATGTGCCCTGACCAGGCATCAAACCCACAACCTTGGTGTGTTGGGACGATGCTCCAGCCAATTGAGCTAGCCAGCCAGGGCAACTTTTCATTGGTTTTAAACTGTTATCTGAAGTAGAAAAAAAAAAATTATAAAAAAATTAACAATTATATGAAGGCAAAGCAATTAATTTTTGCTATATTCTGTTGTTTGCCTTGACTTCTGATCCATTCTAGGCATATTCAAAAACTATCATTTTTTTTATATTAAAAATATAACTCTCCTTTGATTATAAAATGGCCTCACAGAATTTTTTCTCATTCTCCTAAAACTGCAATAGGAACATTTTCCAGAATATTTTGTTAATAACTTTCATGTATTTTAGGATTTGGCTGATGAACTTGCCCTTGTTGATGTCGCAGAGGACAAATTGAAGGGAGAAATGATGGATCTTCAGCATGGCAGTCTTTTCTTTAGTACTTCAAAGATTACCTCTGGAAAAGGTTCATTTTAGTTTTTAATTTTAATTTTAATTTATTGATTTGAGAGAGAGAGGAAAAGGGGCGGGGAGGCATCAGTTGGTTGTTCCAATTACTCATGCATTTATTGTTTGATTCACATATGTGCCCTGACTGGGAATTGAACCTGAAACCTTTTGGTGTATGGGACGATGCTGCAACCAACTGAGCCACGCAGCCATTGGCTCTACTAAATTTTAATGGTTTTCCTTCACTTTAATTTTTCTCACACCTAAAAGGACAATTTTTTAAATGTATGTTTTTATTGATTTTAGAGAGAGGGGAAGGAAGAGAGAGAGAAACATTGACATGAGAAACATCGATCGTTTGCCTCCTGCTCACTCCCTGACTAGGGATCACACCCGAAACCTGGGCATGTGCCCTGATCGGGAATCGAACCAGTGACTTTTTGGTGCACAGGATGATGCTTAACCAACGGAGCCACACTGGCCTAGGGCAGGACAATTTTGAATCAACTTGCTTTTGTTTTCTTTTTCCTTTTATTGATTTTAGAGAGAAAGGAAGGGAGAAAGAGAGAGATGGAAACATCGATGAGAAAGAACATTGATTAGCCTCCTCCTGCATGCCCCTCACTGGGGATCCAGCTCACAACCTGAGCATGTGCTATGACTGGGAATCGAATGGGCGATCTCTTGTTGCATTGATTGATGCTCAACCACTGAGCCACACTGGCTGGACAAACTTGTTTTTAATGTCTTTCCAGGACATTCAAATTAATATTCATAGAAATAATTATTTTAAAATATTAATTTTGAAATATAAAAAGAGTTTAAATATAAAAAATAGTGCATTCCAGTGAAACATTACCAATTCAGTTGATACATTCTATAACATTTATTCATATCTCATTCAGAAATTGAGATCCAAGAATAGACAAGACACTTTTTATAAACATTGTTAAAATATTTATTTTGATACAATCTATCATAAATAGGTCAGTAGAGTTTCCACTCTGCCCAGATACATCTGTGCAATAAGAACCCGGTGCCATCCAAATGGTGAGTCTCTGAATGATGTTCCTTTTCTTGTCCCAGGTGGAGCCCAGAGTAGGCTCAAAATAGTTGATTCAAGCATTCCAGGGTCTGCACTCATCTTAACCCTAAGTAATTTATGAGCGGAATAAAGCTGCAATGGATGGCAAACTGGCCACAACCTCTGCTTGATCTCTATGCTCAGCTTTACCACGGCAGCAGCCTGGGCTGTGGACTCAACAAAACACACTTTTTATTATTGTTAATCCTCACCCAAGGATATTTTTTCCGTTGGAGGCAGGGAAGTGGGGGTGGGGGTGGAGAGAGAAGGAGAAACATCAATGTGAGAGATATATTGATTGATTGCCTCCCACATGTACCTGACTAGGGCTAGGAATCGAACCTGCAACCAAGGTACGTGCCCTTGACTGAGAACTGAAACTGACCCTTTGGTGCTCGGGCCGATGCTCTAACCACTGAGGCTTACTGGCCAACACTCAACAAGACACTCTTGAAAAGAACAAGGTGGTGAGAGCTTACTTTACCAGCTGTGAAGCCTTATTCTAAACCTACACTAATTGAATGCAGAGACACACAAAAGATTGTTATATAACACTCATACCATTGGGAAATTTATGGACTTATACAATTTTTTTGTTATGGTAATGGTTTTCATGGAAAGCAATAAGATCAAACCTGATAATACACACAAAATTCCAGGTTGGTTAAAGACCAGAATGTGAAAGGCAAAACTTTAAAGCTTCTGTTTAGCCCTGGCCAGTTTGGCTCAGCGGTTAGAGCGTCAGCCTGCGGTCCACAGAGACCCAGGTTCGGCTCCCGCTAAGGGCATGTACCTTGGCTGCAGTTTGTCCCCGTCCCTGGTTGGGTCATGTGGGTGGCGGCCACTTGATGTGTCCCTTTCACATCAATGTTTCTCTCTCTTCCTCTCTCTCCTTCCTGCTCTGTCTGAATAAGAAATGGAAAAATGTCCTTGGGGTGAGGATAAAAAACAAACCAAAAAAAAAACTAAAACTTCTTTAGTGTACTAGGTTATGTATTACTGAAATTTTTTAAAAAAAGCTTCTGTTTAGAAGAGAATATAGACTATATTTTTATTTTTATTTTTACTTTTTGATCTTCACCCAAGGATATTTTTACATTAATCTTTAGATAGAGCTGGAGGGAGAAGGGGAGGAAGAGAGAGAGAGAGAGAAACATCAATGTGAGAGAGACACATCAATTGGTTGCCACCCGCATGACCCAACCAGGGCTGGGGACGAACCACAACCGAGGTACGTGACCTTAGCTGGAATCGAACCCAGGACACTTTGGTCCATGGGCAATGCTCTTACCGCAGAGTCATACCAGCCAGGGCGAGAATATAGACTACCTTTATGACCTTAGTGTAGAGAAGCATTTTCTAAACACACAGACACAAAAAGTTCAAACAGTAAAGGAAAGAATATAAAGTTTAAGGTTTGTGTTTATAAAAAGAGTAAAGAGCCCTGGCTGGTTTTGCTCAGTGGTTAGAGCATTGACTCCTACGGACCAAAAAGTCATGGGTTCGATTCTGTTCATAGACATATACCTCGGTTATGGTTCGGTCCCCAGCCCTGGTCAGGGACATGTGGGAGGCAACCAGTCGATGGTCTCTCTCACATTGATGTTTCTCTCTCCTTCCCTCCCACTCTACCTGAAAATCAATGGAAAAATATCCTCAGGTGAGGAATAATAATAATAATAACAATAATAATAATAAATAAAAAGAGTGAAGAGACAAGCCATAAACTGGGAGAAGATATTGGTAACATGAACAATTGACAAAGGAATAGTATTCAGAATAAAAGTACTCATATAATATATAAGACAAATGTATAGAACCCAATAGAACAATGGGAAAAGACTTCAATATTTCACAAAATAATTTAAATAGCCTATAAATATATGAAAAGACAAAACTCACTAGTAAGCAAAGCAAGGAAAATAAAAAGCATATCAATATACTATTACACATCTATTAGATTGGCAGAAGAAGTATGATAATACTGTTGGTCAGGATGTAGAACAATAGGTTATCTAATGCTTGATATGTAGGAGTGTATTACAGTAAAACCACTCTTTGAAAATGTTTGCCATCACCTGTTGACATTGAATGTGAACATATAGTACAACCCAGAAATTGTACTCCTAGGTATAGTCCCGAGAGAAACTGCACATGTGTGCTAAGATACATGAACAAGACTGTATAGTGATATAACTTGTAATAGTTCCAAATTGGAAACAATTCAATGAAAATCAATATTAAATTATATATATTATGCCATGTGATATTACAGAGCAGTGAAAGTGAATGACCTATAAGGACACAGTAACATAGATAAATATCAGAAGCATAATAATTAGCTACGGTAGTATATACCTTATGATTCAAAAACATAAAACTTGGATTGGCCGGCAGCTGGGCCAGCGGGTGACAGAGGTGGCTGAGGCCAGGCTGGCCCTGGATGCCTGCGGCGGGGACCCCTCCCTCGCAGCCGCTGCCGCCGAGCTCCGCCTCCAGCCTGCTCCCGAACTCCCACTGCAGCTACGATTCTGGAGGAGATTGCCGGAGCTTGCCGTGTTGTAGCTCAGATCTGGCGCACCGACCAGCCCGCGCCCCTGCCTCGCAGCTCACAGTCCCTAATCCACGCGCCTCGTGCTGTGGCAGGTGCCCCAGGTACCCAGAGGAGCGGTGGCCTGAGTCTGGCCACCATCGATGACTCAGGCAGGTCACGGACCCGCTCCATCCTGGCTTCCCCGTGGTGTGTTTGGATGCCCATCTAATACCATTTGGAACCATCTCCCAAGACCTGCTGCCACCAGACCCTGCCAGCAGAGGCCCTGGAAGCATCTCCTCCACCCTAACCATCCTTACTTCTGAAGAAATTTACAATGTGGTCCAATAGAGAGAGGAAATGAGAGGGAGAGAGAGCTAGAAACATTGATGAGAGAGAACATCGGTTGGCTGCCTCCTGCATGCCCCCCACTGGGGATCAGGCCCATAGCCTGGGCATGTGTCCTTACCAGAGGTGGAACCAGCGACTTCCTGGTGCATAGGTGGACACTGGCCACTGAGCCACACCTGCCCAATTTGGTGTTATTTTTAGATTATCCCTCAGGTTTGAATCAACCTTTACCTACTCTCAATCCCTTTATAAGAAGACCAAATACTGAAAAGATGGCAGTTCTTCCCTAAACTAATTAATAAATTTCTCTAAAAAAAAAAAAAACCCATAAAACTTAATGTTTATTTTATTATTTTTTAAAATATATTTTATTGATTTTTTTTTTTTTTTAGAGAGGAAAGGAGAGAGAGATAGAAACATAGATGTGAGAGAGAAACATTGATCAGTTGTCTCTTGCACGCTCCCTACTGTGGGTTAAGCCTACAACCTGACATGCCCTGACTGGAATCAAACTGGGACCTCTCCGTCCATGGGATGACGGTCAGTCCACTGAGCCACACCAGCAAGGCAAAACTGAATATGTTGTTTAAATAGGCATAGGTGGTAACCTTTTTAAAAAGGTAATGTTGTGATTTTCACTACTTAAGAATGGTTGGTAATCTCTGAGTATGAAGGATGTAGATGCAACCTTGGAAGCATATGGGGGTTTCCAAGATATTGGCAATGTTCTGTTAATTTGTATAATTTTTTACAGAGTTGTTAACTTTAACATTTAAAATATTGAACCCTGGCCGGTTTGGCTCAGTGGTTAGAGTGTTGGCCTGTGGTCCAGAGAGACCCGGTTTCGGTTCCCACTATGGATGCGTACCTCGTTTATAATCGTGTGGGTGGCAGCCATTCAATGTGTCTCTCTCACCTCGATGTTTCTCTCTCTCCCTCCATCCCTCTCACCCTGTCACTCTATCTGAAGATGAATGCAAAAAGTGTCCTTAGGTGAGGATTAAAAAAATAATAATAATTAAACTATTGAACATGGCCCGGCTGGTGTGGCTCAGTGAATTGAGTGTTGTCCCATGGACTGAGAGATTCTCGTTTGATTCTTGGTCAGGGCACGTCTAGGTTTTGGGCTTGATCTCCTACTGGGGGCGTGCAGGAGGCAGCTGATCGATGTTTCTCACATCAATGTTTTATCTCTCTCTCCCTAAAAAAAAAAAAAATGTATGGAAGAAAGGGAGGAATATGAAATCAGAACTTGTTATGATCTTATGATCAAGTTAAGGGTTAAATATGACATAACCATCAGAAGATAACATAAAGTACTATATATAAGGACTATTTGAGAATTATAGGCAGTAAGTGCTATAAAAATTCAGTGAAGTAAGAGAGTAGTATTTATGAATGATATGATTAGGGAATGCTTAACAGAGGAATTGGTATTTAGAGAAGTACTTGACTAATAATGGCTGACATTTATTGAACATTTAATATGTATGAGGCACTGTTCTGAGTATATAAACTCACTGAATCATCTAAAGGAAAAACTATTAATGGTTCTATATTGCAGAGGAGGAACTGAGGGTTAGAGGAACAGGCAAAATACTTGTCCAGGCTTACACAGCTAGGAAGTGGCAAAGTCAAAATATAGGTGGTTGGACCTTAGAGTCTTTGCTCCAGACCATTATGATTTACTGTCTCTTGGAGCATTGAGTTATATTTAAAAAGGGAAATAAGTAACAGGGAGATGATAGCATTAACAACATCAGGGCACCTGGAAAATCTGACATAAAAATAAGACACAAAGTTAGTAAGATAATTTTCAGGCAGATTATGAAGACTTGATATTTTACTTTGGTATACACATTTTTAAAAAAAATCCTCACCTGAGGATATTTTTCTATTTATCATCAGATAAGGGGGAGGGGGCATTGATGTCAGAGAGACACATCATCTGGTTGCCTCTTGCATGACCTGACCAGGGCCAAGGATGAACTTCAACTGAGGTATGTGCCCTTGACCGGAATCGAACCCGAAACTCTTTGGTCCGCAGACCAGTGCTCTAACTGCTGAGCAAAACCAGCCAGGGCACTTTGGTATACACTTTAATTGACATTGTTGGGTCCAGCCGGTGTGGCTCAGTGGTTGAGTATCGACCCATGCCCCAAGAGGTCACCGGTTCAATTCCTGGTCAGAGCACATGCCCAAGTTGTGGGCCAAATCCCCACTGGAGGGCATGCAGGAGGCGGCCAATCAATGTTTTCTTTCATCAATGTTTCTCTCTCTCCCTCTCATTTCCTCTCTTTCTAAAGGAAAAAAAATTGACATTGTTGGATGTAATATTTCAAATAATCAATCTGAACTGGAGAGATGACTCTAAAGAAAGCTTCAAGGATTTTATGTCCCTGTGTCCTCTAAAAGTTGAGGTGGGGAGAAGGCAGGGAGAACGGGGATGGGGAAAGAGAGAGACAGAAATTGAGAGAATTACTTTGGATTTCTCTGCTTAGATAAGAGTTTATGGAAAGTAAATGTCAAGCAAGGTCTTTGAACAAGAATGAGTAGACTGTACAGAGAGAGAACTTCTGTAGATCTTTTACTTGATAGAAGGGAAAGACAGTCTTTTTAAATTATTTTTGGTTTTAGAGAGAGGAAGACAGAGGGAGAGATAGAAACATCGATGATAGAGAACATTGATTGGCAGCATTCTGCATGCCCTCCCCCTCCCACTGGGGATTTGGCCCATAATCTAGGCATGTGTATGAGTTGATACTCAACCACTGAGCCACACTGGCTGGTTGGGAGAGATAGTCTTTTAGTCTTTTTTTTTTTATCCTCACCCGAGGACATTTTTCTATTTTTTGTTCAGGTAGAGTGGGAGGGAGAGAGAGGAAGAGAGAGAGAGAAACATCGATGTGAAAGGGACACATCGAGTGGCTGCCACCCACACGACCCAACCAGGGCAGGGGACAAACCGAAACCAAGGTACATGCCCTTAGTGGGAACTGAACCCGGGTCTCTCTGGACCACAGGCCGACGCTCTAACCGCTGAGCCAAACTGGCCAGTGCTGTTTTTTAATTTTTTTATGTAACACACATCAGCTGAAGAAATGCCATTCTAATTAAAATTTTTACTGGAGCAGGAAAAACATAAAATGTTTATAGTTTATAATTAGGATAGAAAGATGAAAATGACTATAAATGAAGAATTGATATCCTTAAAATTGAACAAATTTCCTTTTCAAAAGAGCATAAAAATAATTTTAAAAATAGAGATGGGATATAGAGGAGATTTTATCTAATTTAATTGTTGACATCCATATGATAAATAACTTTCAGGTATATAATGCTTTAAAACAAGTCCAGTATTGGATAGTGAGCATCATATTATGCTAGTCATTGGATTTCATAGGTGAAACAGTTTATAACATTATCAGATTTAGAAGGTAGTTTATTTTCTTGTGTGGATCAAGAATTTGCTTGTGATCTCAAATCCAGTTCCTTATAATCAGAAATAAATACATTCTTACTCTTAGAATCCTGAAACAGATACATACGTTTTCAGAGTTCTAAGCTTCTAATATCTATATAGTGTTTCTAAGAAGCCAGAGGCTGACTTGCATTGCCTCGGGCTTTAATAACAAATTGGAATGTGGGCTTAAAAGAATAGTAGGTTCTGTTATTATTAAAAACAAACACACAAACAAACCAACTGTGTGAAACTTGTAAGTTATAGTGACAAGACTTCCTTCAGGTTTTACAGAATAACATTACTACATGGAAAGCTGTTCATTTCCAAATGCCAGACATGAAGGCATATGAGTATTTTAATATGATGGTCATACAATAGACTTTTAAAGAATTAAGGCACAGTGATTATGGCTATCTTGATCCAAATATTGCCTTTTGTTTCCCTTTTAGATTGCCGTGTATCTGCAAACTCCAAATTAATTATTGTCACAGCAGGTGTACGGCAACAGGAAGGAGAAAGTCGTCTTTCCCTTGTTCAACGTAATGTGAATATCATGAAAACAGTCATTCCTGTCCTAGTCCATCATAGTCCTGACTGTAAGATACTTGTTGTCTCCAATCCAGGTGAGTCTTTTCTCTTTAGCTGCATAAGGATGGTCTTTCCAGACCATTGCTTTTTTTAAAAAAAAATATGGATTTTTAAATTGAGTTTTTAGAGAGGGAAGAAGGGAGAGAGAGAGAGAGAAACATGGATGTGAGAGAGAAACATCCATTGGCTGCCTCCTGCACACCCCCTACTGGGGATTGAGCTCGCAACCCAAGCATGTGCCTTGATAGGGGATCGAACTGGGGACCTCTCTGTCCAAGGGACAATGCTCAACCTACTGAGTCACACCAGCTGGGCCCATTCCTTTAAAAATAAACAACATAACTTTATTGAGGTAAAATTTGTATATAATAAACTATACCCATTCAAAGTATACAGTACAATGAGTTTTTTTCCAGCTGTTTTGAAATATAATTGCCACATATCATGCAAGTTTAAGGTGCACAGTGTGATTTGATATGGTTACATACTGAAAAACAATTACCACAGTAGGGTTAGTTAATACTTCTATCACCTCACATACAGTCATTCCTTGGTATTCTCAGGGGATTTGGTACCACTGTGGATACCAAAATTCTTGGATGGTCAAGTCCCCTATATAAAATGGAGTAGTAGTTGCATATAACCTTATATCCTTCAACTTTACTGAGTGCATATAGACTACAGAAGGATATGCCTACATATTACTTCATTTGTGTATAATCAACATAGTGCTAGTGCTCAGTGCACGTCAAATTCAAGTTTTGCTTTTTGGAACTTTCTGGAATTTTTTTCCAAATATTTTTTATCTGCATTTGGTTGGTTGAATATGCAAATGTGAAACCTGTAGATATGGAAGTCTGATTGTAATTACCATTTCTTTATTGTGGTGAGAACATTTAAGATTTACTGTCTTAGCAACCTATATATATTATTGTTAACTATAGTCACTGGTGCTGTATGTTAGATCCCAGAATGTACTAATTTTTATCTGGAAGTTTAAGTTTATCTTTTAACCAACATCTCATTATTCCCCCTTTCCCAACCCTATTGCACTCTGTTTCTATGAGTTATTCCACATATAAGTGACACTATACAATACTTGTCTTTCTCTGTCAGACTTATTTTACTTAGCATAATGCCTTCAAGTTCCATCCATGTTGTCACAAATAGCAGGATTTTTTTCTTTCTTGTAGCCATATATTCCATTGTATATGTATATACCACATATTCTTTTTTAAAATTTTTTTTATCTTTATTGTAGAAAGTATTACAGATGTTTCCCCCTTTTTTCCCCATTGACCCCCTCCTCCCCACTGCACCCTCCTCTTTGCCTTCCCCACATATATTATTTATTCATTCATCCATAGACAGACACCTAGGTTGTTTTCATATCTTAGCTATTGTGAATAATGTATACACAGAAGTGGGATTGCTGGATCATATGGTAGTTCTATTTTTAATTTCTTTTTTTCCTTTATTGATTTTTAGAGATAGAGGAAGGGAGAGGGAGAGAGAGATTGATGAGAGAGAACATCGATTGGCCGCCTCATGTATGCCCCCCAATGGGGATTTGGCCCACAACCTGGTGGCCTCTTGGTGCATGGGTCAATGCTCAACCACTGAGCCACACTGGCCAGGCTTAGCTATTCTTTTTTTAAATATGTTTTTATTGATGTTTTTTAGAGAGAGATAGAAACATCGATGAGAGAGAAACATTGATCGGCTGCCTCCTGCACACCTCCTACTGGGGATCGAGCCCAAAACCTGGGCATATACCCTGACCAGAATTGAACCAGGACCTCTCAGTCCATGGGATGATGCTCAATCCACTAAGTCACACCAGCTGGGCTGATTTTAACTCTTCTAATGGATGTGAAGTGATATTTTATTGTGGTTTTAATATGCATTTCCCTAGTGGCTAATGATATTGAACATCTTTTCAATGCTTTTTGGCTATTTTCATATTTTCTTTGAAGAAACATCTATCCATGTTCTTTACTTATTTTTAAATTGTGTTGTTTGTATTTTGGTTGTTGAGAAATAGAGTTCTTTGTATATTCTGGATATAAGACTCTTACCAGATATATGATTTACAAATATATTCTGTATATTATCTTTTCTCTCTCTTGATAGTATACTTTGATCCACAAAAATGTTTAATTTTAATAAAGTCCAATTTATCTATTTAAAAGCCTTTTGTTGTGATTTTGGTGTCACACCTAAAAAATCATTGCCAAATCCCAAGTCATGAAGATTTACCCCCATATTTTTAGCTCTTATAATTAGGTCTTAGATCCATTTTGAATTAACTTTGTCCATGGTGTGAGGTAAGGGGCAAGCTTCATTCTTTTGCATGTAGACATCCAGTTTTTTCAACAACATTTGTACAGAGATTACTCTTTTCCCAATGAATGGTCATAGCACCCTGGTCTAAAATCTATTGACCATAGATGAGTGAGTTTATTTCTGGACTCTCAATTCTATTTCATTTATTGATATGTCTGGCCTTATTCCAATATCATTCTGTTTTGCTTATTGTAGCTCTAGTGTAAGTTTTGAAATCAGGAAATATGATTCTTCCTTCATTTTTCTTCTTTTTTTAATCCTCAACTGAGGATATTTTTTTTTCTTTTTTAAATTAATTTATTTTTGTTATAGATGTTTCTCCTTTTTCCCCCATTGACACCCTCTCACAATCCCCCCCCTCGCCCTGTCCCCAGCATTGTTGTCTTTGTCCATGGTTACGCATACATGCATATGGATATTTTTCTATTTATCATCAGATAGATTGGGAGGGAGGGAGAGAGAGAAACATTGATGTGAGAGAGAGACACCAACTGATTGCCTCCCACACGACCTGACCACGGCCAGGGACGAACTGCAACCAAGGTACCTGCCCTTGATAGTAATTGAACCTGCGACTCACTGGTCTGTGGGCCGATGCTCTAACCACTGAGCAAAACTGGCCAGGGCACATTTTTCTTCTTTTTCAAGACTGTTTTCACTATTTGGGCCCCTTTGTGATTTCAAATGCATTTTAGGATTGGCTTTTCCATTTCTGGGGGGAAAAAAGGCCTTTGGAATTTTATAGAAAATGAATAAATCTGTAAACCACTTTGGGGAGTATTGCCATCTTAACAATAGTAGTTTTTCTAATTCATGAACGTAGGATGTATTTTCATTTCTTTTGTCTTTAATTTTTTTCAGCAATGTCTTATACTTTTCAGTGTATAATTCTTTTTTTTTTTTTTTTTTTTTAATCCTCACCCGAGGACATTTCTCCATTTTTTTGTACAGACAGAGTGGGAGGGAGAGAGAGGAAGAGAGAGAGAGAGAGAGAAACATCATCGTGAAAGGGACACATCGAGTGGCTGCCACCCGCACGACCAACCAGGGCCGGGGACAAACTGCAACCGAGGTACGTGCCCTTAGCGGGAACCGAACCCGGGTCTCTCCGGACCGCAGGCCGACGCTCTAACCGCTGAGCCAAACCGGCCAGGGCCAGTGTATAATTCTTGCATTTCTTTTGATAAGTTTATTCTACATATTCTTTTTTATTCTACTGTAAACTTTGTTTTTTAATTTTCCATTTTGGATTGTTCATTGCTAGTTTATAGAAATATAGCTGGTTTTTGGGTATTGATCTTATATCCTTCAACTTTACTGAGTTAATTTATTACCTCTAATAGTTGTTTTTTTCTGTGTGTTTGTGGATTTTTTAGGATTGTCTATATATAGGGTCATGTTGTCTTCAAATAGTAATTGACTACTTCCTTACCAATTTGGATGCCTTTGATTTCTTTTTCTTGCCTAATTGCAAGTAGCTCACTTTAGATTAAAAAACACAAATAAGCCCTGGCTGGTTTGCCTCAGTGGTTAGAACATCGGCCTGAGGACTGAAGGGTCTCGGGTTCGATTTCCGGTCAAGAGCAAGTACCTGGGTTGCACGTTCGATCCCTGGCCCCCTTCAGGTTTGTGCGGGAGGCAACCAGTTGATATGTTTTTCTCACATCAATGTTTCCCTCTCCCCTTTTTCTACTCTGTCTAAAAAAATCAATGAAAAAATATCCTTGGGTGAGGATTAGCAAAAACAAACACACAGGTTGAAAGTAGAAGAGTGGAAAAAGATATTTCAAACACACAGGAATGCACAGATAACTGAAGTGGCTATACTGATATCAGAGGAATTGTACTTGAACACAAAAATCATTTTTATAGCTATTTATTTATTTTCCATCACCATTTATCCCCCATATACCCTCTTCCATGTGCCATGACCACAAATCAAATTGGTGATTTCCTGGTGCATATGGGTGAACACTCGACCACTAAGCCTCACTGGCTGGCTAATTTCATTTTTTTTGCATGTATTTGGCCTATTTTCCCAACACCATTTATTGAATAGACTATCTTTATTCCATTGTATGTTTTTCCCCTCTTTGTCAAATAGTAATTAACTATAAATGTGTGGGTTTATACAAAAATTATTAATAAAAGGGCTTGCTGTTACAGCAGAAATGTTGTGGAAATCTGTCAGACATCCATGCGTGCACACGCTAAGGTTCTATGGTTCAGAACCTGGATCAGACAACTTGGGCTGTGCCTGAAGTCGTTTGCTGTAGTTTGTTAGCATGAACAATCAGTAAACACCCAACCATGATTTTAAAAAAATCAGCCCAGCCCGTGTAGTCAGTGGTTGAGCATTGACCCATACACAAAGAGGTTGCTGGTTCAATTCCCAGTCAGGGCACATGCCCAGGTTGTGGGCCAAGTCCCCAGTTGGGGGACATGCTGGAGGTGACCAATCAATGTTCTCTTTCTTTTTTTTTTTTTATCCTCACCTGAGCGGGAGGAAGAGAGGGAGGAAAGAGAGAGAGAAATATCGATGTGAGAGAGACACATCGACTGGTTGCCACCCACATGACCCCGGCCGGGCCAGGGACAAACTACAACTGAGGTGCATTCCCTTAGTGGGAACCGAACCTGGGTTTCGCTGGTCCGTGGGCCGATGCTGTAACCGCTGAGCCAAACTGGCCAGGGCTCGATATTCTCTTTCATTGATGTTTCTATCCCTCTCTCCCTCTCCATTCCCCTCTCTCTAAAAACTATTAAAGAAAAAAATTTTTAATAAAATAAAAAAGAATTTTTTAGTAAACTATGCATAGAAAAAAATCTTCAACCTGGTAAAAGGTATTTATGAAAAACCCACAGCTAGCATCATACTCAATGGTGAAGGATTGAAAGGTTTCTTCCTGCTAATATGAAAATTGTATAAACCAAAGTCTTCCCTCCCAGGTTTTTTGTTGTTGCCGATGCTTGTTGTAGTTGTCATTTGTTTATTTCATGACTTGTGAACTGATTTTGCAAAGTCTGTATTCTTTGTTGTGTGTGGCCCCAGACGTCTTTTATCTGTTTGTTTTGTGATCAGCTAATGATTGGACAGAATTTTCTTTAAATGTGGAACCAAAAAATATCTCCCAGTCTTTGTTGAAGGGGCTGTGTACATGTTGGGGCATGCCTTCAACCCTCAGCTAGCCAGGTTACAGCTGTGCGGTATACTTCCTGCTTGCACAGAGCCTCATGATCAGACAGAGCTTAAGCTTAAGATCTTCTCGTGTTTTTCCTGAGCACGCACACACCTGCATACCGCCCTGAGTGTACATGTGGCCTTGTTCTAGGTAGGAAATGCTGATAGCTTAGATGAGACTGTGGCGATGGAGAGGAAAAAATCTAGGCAATCTTAAGGAGGTAGAATTAACTGACTATTAAATATACAGATAGACACATACATTATCTTAAAAGAGAATTTTTAAAAAATCTGACAGTGAATAATTTAACCTTTTAAAACCTATATGAGAGATTAGGAATATCTCCTTGTTGAATTCTGTAATAAATCTGTATTTATCAATCTATTCAGAAAAGCGAATTGTAAAAAGAAGTTACTGTAAATCTTCTTCTAACAAGAAATTGTTCTCCCTAGTGGATATTTTGACATATGTGGTCTGGAAGCTAAGTGGTTTACCTGCCACTCGTGTAATTGGAAGTGGTTGTAATCTAGACTCTGCCCGTTTCCGTTATCTAATTGGAGACAAGTTGGGTGTCCATCCCACTAGTTGCCATGGTTGGATCATTGGAGAACATGGTGATTCTAGTGGTAAGTATGAGCCCATTTTCATTATGTAATCACACTTCTTATCTATAAGGATGTTTTTCTTTTTTTTCTTTCTTTTTTTGTTAATCCTCACCTGAGGATATTTTTGCATTAGTTTTTAGATAGAGTGTTAGAGAGGGAGAGGGATAGGGTGAGGGAGGAGAGGGAGGAGAAAGAGAAGGAGAGGGAGGAGAAAACATTGGTGTGAGAGAGAGACATTGATTGATTGCCGACTCCAGCAGGGGCCAGAGATTGAACCTGAGACTCCTGGGTTTGTGGGCTGACTCTCTAACTGCTGAGCCAAACCAGCCAGGGCAATGCTTATTTTCTTTTTTAAGTTTTTATTGACTTTTTCGAGAGAGATAGATAGAAACATCAATGTGGCTGTTTCCTGCACAACCCCACTGGGGATTGGCCCGCAACTGGGCATGTGCCCTGACCAGGAATCGAACCTGGACCTCTCAGTCCATGGGACAATGCTCAAACCACTAAGCCACACAAGTGGGGCAATGCTTAGTTTTTTAAAAGTCTATTAAAACAATTTTTTTTCTTTATTGATTTTAGAAAGGGAGGAAGGGAGAGGAGAGAGAGAGAGAGAGAGAAACATCAGTGAGAGAGAACATCAATTGGCCGCCTCCTGCATGACCCCCACTGGGGGTTTGGCCCATGTACCCAGACTGGGAATTGAACCAGCAACCTCTTGGTGTATGGGTCGATGTCAATCACTGAGCCACATCGGCCGGGCATAAAGTCTATTTTTTGTGATATTAATATAGCTGTGTAACTTTTGTTTTATTGTTATTTCCCTGGTGTATCTTACCATTTTCTATTCCTTTACTTTGTCTTTTGCATCACTGATTTAGTTACCACTCATTAAATTATGTATATAGCTGTTTTAAAAGTCAATGAGTTGTTTCTCTTATCTGGAGCACTTTTATTTATTGTTATTTTTTAAACAGCATTATTAAGGTATTATTTATATAGCATAAAATTCACCCATTTAAAGTGTATAATTTACTGGTATTTAGTATATTCACGGAGTTGTGCAATCATCTCCACAATCTAATTATTTAACATTTTTATCACCCCAGAAAGAAACTTGAACTCCTGAACTCACCCGTACCCTAGCCCCAGGCAACCACTAATTTACTTTCTGACTCTATAGATTTGTTTTATTCCAGACTTTTCATATAAATAAATTTATATAACATGTGATTTAAACTGTTGCTTAGGCCACACCAACTTCTTTCTTTTCTGAACTTAAATATTTAAGCTCTGCAGAACAATTAGAACTTTATACTTCTTACAGTGTTCTCTAATTGTGTCATATGTGTGAATCTTCTTTCCACAATGACAATATACCCATTAAGAATAGGTACCATTCATTCAGCGATTCATTTGTTTAGTCAAAATATTTAATGAGCCCTTCTTCTTTTTTTCCTTACAAGGGTCATGTTAAAATAAATACTTTTGATTTTGACTTAGACAAATACTTAATTTGACTTGATGGCTTGTGTTACTGTCTTAACTCAGCTCTTCCTCCTGAAAGTCTTTTTTTTAATCCTCACGGGAGGATACTTTTGCATTTATCCTCAGATAGAGCAGGAAGGAGAGAGGGAGGAAGAGAGAGATAAACATCAATGCGAGAGAGACACATCAAGTGGCTGCCACTCACACGATCCCAACCAGAGCTGGGGACAAACTGCAACCAAGATACGTGCCCTCAGCGGGAACCGAACCCGGGTATCTCTGGTTCGCGGGTCAACACTCTAACCACTGAGACAGATTGGCCAGGGTCTTCCTGAAAGTCTTTAAAAATAATTTTCTTAGTTACGTTTCAATTTCTCACATTTTTTTTTTTTTTTTATCCTCACCCGAGGACATTTTTCCATTTTTTGTTCAGATAGAGTGGGAGGGAGAGAGAGGAACAGAGAGAGAGAGAGAGAAACATCGATGTGAAAGGAACACATTGAGTGGCTGCCACCCGCACGACCGACCAGGGCCGGGGACAAACTGCAACCGAGGTACGCGCCCTTAGCGGGAACTGAACCCGGGTCTCTCAGGACCGCAGGCCGATGCTCTAACCGCTGAGCCAAACTAGCCAGGGCTTCAATTTCTCACATTTAATATTACATTATTTTATTTGAAAACAAAGCCGTATATTCTGATTGGTATTAATTTGAATATATTTAGTATTCTATTCAGCAAGATTTTCTTTTGTTTGTTTTTTTTTCTGTTGAATTGATTAAGCTTTCTTAAATTTCCATCATTACTTTGGATTGTACACTCACTTTATTAAGTGGTTACCTATAAATTTTTAGCATCCATACTTTACCTCAAAGTAATTAGTGTTTTCATTCTTCTTTGGAACAATACAAAGATCTTGGAATGCTTTAAGTTTAATCATCCTCTTTCTGTCATATATGCAATTATTAGCCACTTTTATGGTTCATCCTGTTTTTATATCCCCCAAACTAATTATTATTTGAGTAGTTAATACTATTATTTTGATTTATAAACATGTTTGCCAATTTTATTGCTTGTCTGTATTTTCTGCATCTAACTCCTTTACTTTTTTTTTTCCTGAGGCATATATAATCTGCCAGTATTGTTTATGTAAAGGTGTTTTAGCTTCACTCATTCTTTTCTTTTAAGTTTAAAAAAGTTTTTATTTATTGATTTGAGAGAGAGATTGAGATTGATTGATCAGTTTGTTGTTCCACTTACTTATGCATTCATTGGTTGATTCTTGTATGTGCCTTGACTGGGGATCAAACCTGCACACTTGGTGTATCAGGACGATGCTCTAAGCAACTGAGCTACTTGGCCAGGGCAGCTTCAATTTATTCTTGAATGACAGTTTAATTGGATATGAGATTCTAGATCAACAGTTATTCCCCCTCAGCTCTTTGTTACTGTTGAGAAATATGGCATTAATTTGTTGCTCTTTTCCCTCTTTGCCTGTAATATTTTATCTTTTTAACCATTCTTTTCTTTGTGGATTCTGTAATGTAACTTCCTTTAAAATGCTTCCTATATCACATAATTATAAATAAATTCTACCACGTATTTTTCTAACATAATTTTATTTTTTACATCTCCCTTTTTTGTCTATTTGAAACTTATTTTTATATATGGCATAAGGTAGTAATTTAAGTTTATAAAAAAAATTAGTAAATTAAAACAACTGATGCAATACTAGTAAGATGAGCTCATTCTGAGATACATTTCTTTCAGTGCCCTTATGGAGTGGGGTGAATGTTGCTGGTGTTACTCTGCAGAGTCTAAACCCTAAATTAGGAACTGATTCAGACCAGGAGCAATGGAAAAATATCCATCGACAAGTTGTTGAGAGGTAAAGTACTCATTAAGTTTCTTAATGTATTAATAATCAGTCGTAAGAACAAATATCACAAAAAAACCCATATAGTTCTTTGTGTTTTGTGACATAAATAATTTTAACCTATGAAAATCCTTGAATTCAGACTTATATTATGCATAGTTATTTGGAGGGCATTTTTCACAAAGAAAATGTACTTCACAAGAACTCCTATGTTTGAGGATAATTTAGCAATTAATTATGAGCATGGACTTTGGAACCAGGTTGCCAGGTTTGAAACCTGGGTTCATTATTTATTAGTGGTGTGACTATGGAAGTTATTTAAAATTTCAAACGCTCAGTTTCCAAGTTTTAAAAATGGGGATAATAATAGAGCCCACCTTAGAGGGCTGTTATGAAGAATAAATGAGTTAGTACATGTAAAATGCTTAGAATAGCACCTAGAACTTGTGTTCATCAAATGACTTGATGAAAAGAAACAAAAAAAACAAGCCAATGCAGATGACTAGAAGTTAACTAGGTCTACTTATAAATGATATGTCTGACTGTGTAAATCAGCCTTAACAACACACATAATTTTCCTTTATGCTTTAGTCAGGTTACATATTAATAAAAGTTATAGAACCTAAACCTAACTCCTCTTTCATCTGGTCATCATTTGTTTGTTATCTGTATCTATATGTCTGTTTCTGTTTTGTTTGTTCATTTATTTTGTTCTTTAGATTCCAGGTATAAGTAAAAGCATAAAGTATTTATCTTTCTCTATATGACTTCTTTTACTTAGCTTGATACCCTCTAGGTCCAGCAGTGTTGTCACAAATGGTGAGATTTAATTCTTTCTTGTATATATGTACCAAATCTTTTTTATCCATTTGTCTATTGATGGACACTTAGGTTGTTTCCATATCTTGGCTATTATAAACAATGCTGCAGTGACTATGTGAATGCATATATCTTTTCAAATTAGTGTTTTGGATTTTTTTTTGGCTAAATACTCAGAAGCGGAACTGCTGGGTCATAAGGTAGTTCCCTTTTTAATTTTTTGAGGAACCCCCCTACTGTTTTACATAGTGGCTGTACCAATTTTCATTCCCACCAGCAGTGCAACAGGGTTTTCTTTTTTCCAGGTCCTCTCCAGCACTTACTTGTTGATTTATTGATAGCTATTCTGACAAGCATGAGGTGATAATCTCATTGTGGTTTCAATTTGCATTTCTTCTTTTTTTAATTCTCACCCGAGGATATTTTTCCATTTGTTTTCAGATACAGTGGGAAGGAGGGGTAGAGAGAGAGAGAAACACTAATGTGAGAGACAACATCGACTGGTTGCCTCCTGCATGACCCAGACCACCACCAGGGACAAATTGCAACGGATGTACATGCCCTTGACTGGAATCAAACCCAGGACTCTTTGGTCCGAGGGCCGACACTCTTAACCGTTGAGCCAAACTGGCTAGAGCTCATTTGCATTTCTATCATGATTAGTGATGTTTCCCAATAGTTTTTAAATTTTTAAAAATATTTTGGTTAATTCTCACTCAAGGATATTTTTCTATTGATTTTTTTAGATAGAGTGGAAGGGAGGGAGGGAGGGAGAGAGAGAGGAAGAGAGAGAGAGAGAGAGAGAGAGAGAGAGAGGAAGAGAGAGAGAGAGAAACATCGATGTGAGAAAGACACATCAATTGGCTGCCTCTCGCAGATCCCCAACCAGGGGTGGAGATCGAACCTGCATCCCAGGTATGTGCCCTTGACCAGGAATTAAACCCAAAGCCCTTTGGTCTGCAGGACAATGCTCTAACTGCTGAGCCAAACTGGCCAGGGCCCCAGTAGTTTTTAATATAGTTCTTATTACATAGCCCTCAGGATCTGTGTGCTTACTTCCAGTTTTCTAGTCCTGGTGCAATGCACAAATCAAGGATTACATACCATATAGTGCTGATAACCTAGTTCTATTAGGGTTAATATTCAACATTTTAACTAATTTATGTATTTTTTTTTCAATTTTTTATTTTGATAGAATACACAAAATTTACCATCTTTAACCATTTTAAGTTTATAATTCAGTGGTATTAAAATCATTTGTATTGCTGTGTAACCATCACCACCATCTATTTCATATCTCTTTCATCTTGAAAACTAAGACAATCAATCTCATTCCTCCCTCTCTCTCCAGGCCCTGCCAACCAATATTCTGCTTTCTATCTCTATGATTTTTGACTACTGTAAGTCTCTTATATAAGTAGATTTATACAGTATTTGTCTTTTTTTGTGACTGGCTTATTTCACTTAGCTGATTCATTCTTCTGCCTGCTCAAATCTGCCTTTGAATCTCTCTAGTGAATTTTTTGTTTCCGTTACAGTCATGCATTGCTTAACAATGAGAATACATTCTGACAAATGCATAATTGTACCACAGTGAATATTAGTTCCTTTTTAATTTGAAACACTGTTGCTATAAGGCAGCGATTTTCAACCCTTTTCATTTCATGGCACACATACACTAATCACTAAAACTCTCTAGCACAACACAGGTATAATTTTGATTCATTCACACTGGACTATTGTTGTGTTAGCTGTTGTCATTTTTTTATTTGACAGTCTAAAGGAAAAGAGATCAGTGCCCTGACTAAATAGTTAGATATTACATGCTTTAAAAATTCATGTGGCACACCAGATGAAAAATGATTAAGATGACATTTCCCACTGAAGTCCTTTGTGGTTTGAATACCAAATACCATAACACATTGTAGATCAGTACTCATTCTAGTTAGTCCTCTCAACAACACAGTGTTCAAAATTAAATTATTTACCCTTTGGTTACTTAGCAGAGGATCTATAATAATTTAAAAATACTCAGCCCTGGCCAGTTTGGCTCAGCAGTTGGAGCGTCAGCCTGCGGACCAAAGAGTCATGGGTTTGATTCCAGCCCAGGGCATGTGCCTTGGTTGTGGTTTGGTGCCTGGCCCTGGTGGGGGGCGTGCAGGGGGCAACCAGTCTATGTGTCTCACTCACATTGATGTGTCTCTCCCTCTCCCTGCTCTTTCCACTCTGACTGAAGATAAATGGAAATAAGTATCCTTGGGTGAGTATTAAAAAAAAAAATCCTCAGCCCTGGCTGGTTTGGCTCAACAGTTAGAGCATTGATTGGCCTGTGGACCAAAGGGTCTTGAGTTCCATTCCAGGTCAAGGGCACCTACCTGGGTTGCAGGTTTGATCCCTGGCCCCAGTCGGGGTTGTGCGGGAGGCAACCAGTCAATGTGTCTCTTTCACATGATGTTTCTCTCCCTCTCTGTCCCCTTCCCTCCCTTCCACTCTGTCTAAAAATCAATGGAAAAATATCCTCAGGAAAGGATTAACAACAACAACAAAAATCCTCAGAATACTGATAATATTTATCTAAAAACAACAGAACTCTTTGTTTTGTTTTTTAGTCCTCACCCAAGGATATTTTTCCACTGATTTTGAGATAGAGTGAAAGGGAGGAGAGAAAGAAAATTGATGAGAGAGACACATTAACTGGTTACCTCCCACAAGACCTGGACCTGGGCTAGGGATCAAACCTGCAACCGAGGTACATGCCCTTGACCGGGAATCACACCCTCAACCTTTTGGTCTGTGGGCCAGTGCTCTAACCGCTTAACCATACTGGCCAGGCTAACTCAACTCTTTTATATTCTAGTCTTTGATTTTCCAGTAGTTGTCCACCAATTGCAGGGGGGTGACATCAGAATTTAATAGAATATCCTTCTAGGTTCCAATAGAACATTTAATGTATAACATGGATCAGTTTTTGGCTTAAAATACCGGTCTTAGAGCTGCTTGTTCTGTTTGCTCCCTTTAGCCTTCCTTTTACACCAGTTGTATTTTCATTAGGAGGGTTAATAACAACTAAAGGATTATGTTTGTAGCCATTTTTTTCTTAGCCCTCTTCTCTTCCTCAAGCCATTCTGTTAATTCCTGAGAGGGTAAATCTGTCATCTAGATTCCACTGATAAGATTTTTCTCCAGTTACCTACTGCAGAGCTTTCTTCAACTTACACACCACCAATTAACTATTCAGTAGGCATAATCTTCCTCCCTTTCCTTTTACTTACCCCACAGAGTCTTGGTCATATTGAGTTGAGAATCCGAAAACTAATCCTAATTTGACACCAACTGAGTGTCTGAAAGCTAATCCTAATTTGACACCAATCTGTCTAATAGTGCCCCTGGTTCTGGATTGACAGTCAAGTCCCAGCACACCACAGTGAGTACAGTCCAGGCTCAACTGTTATGTGCTGAGGTGGTCCATTTACACGTCGGTCTTATCTTTTGCAACCAAGTGTGTTACGTGTTGCCCTGGCACCTCGAAACTGTGTGTAGTGGTTGTAAAACAGCCTGATACGAATAATAATGCTGTACATTCTGTGTTTCCAGTCCTGGATCTTTTTCTCAAAACTGAATAAACTCTGCTATGTTAAAACCTCTTTGTCCTTTGAGTTAATCCAAACCTGAGACCACTGTTGGTGGCAATACAAAAATATAATACATATCGGAGAAAACAAGAATATTCAGGAAAGCACGGAGAAGATATCATCTTTAAGCCTGTCACTCAGAAATAATTACTGTTAATAATTTGGTGGATTAATGCATTCTAAAGTTACTATAAAAATGTATTATGTTTTTCACAAGCCCAAGATAAAAGAAATTACATAGTGTTTAAGACCGTGTTATTGTCCTTTGAAAATGTATCATGAACATTTTCTCATACTTTTATATATTATTGATTTAAAGATATATTCTTAGGAAAAATATGTGCACATGGCTTAAATTGTATACATTGTACCCTAGTAACAATTTTAAGTGGTTAGCAAGATGTATATACTAACTTTCAAGGTGATCAGATTCTATGTTTGGATATTTAAGCAATAGTACAAAACACACAATACAATATACAGATGATGTACTATAGAATTACACATCTGAAACGTATGTAATATTATTAACTAATGTTACCCCAATGAATTCAATAAAAAAGTAAGAAAAAAAACCAATAATACAAAAAGTTTAAAACTAGTTTTCATCTTAAGTGGCGTATATGCCCTAATACTCTGGCTTTATGATTAAAGTGAATAATGCACCACCATTATCCCCCCACCACCACACCACACTATCATACCACCAACAACCACCACCCACACCAAAACCAAGAAAAAAAAGTGAATAATGAAGTCTATGAGTGTAGTATAGAAACCTGTAGGGCTTATTTATAAATCATTTCTAGATGAAATCTCTGAGAAAAAAAATTTTTTTTTATCCTCACCCGAGGACATTTTTCCATCTTTTGTTCAGATAGAGTAGGAGGGAGAGAGAGGAAGAGAGAGAGAGAGAGAGAAACATCGATGTGAAGGGGTCACATAGAGTGGCTGCCTCCTGTACGACCCAACCACGGCTAGGGACAAACTGCAACCAAGTTACGTGCCCTTAGCGGGAACCGAACCTGGATCTCTCTGGACACTCTAACCACTGAGCCAAACCGGCCAGAGCTTTCTTTCTGTTTTTTTTTTTTTTTAATTTTATTTATTTATTTATTTTATTTTATTTTTGTTACAGATGTTTCTCTACCCCACTGACACCCTCCTTCCTATCACCCCCACCCCGTCCCCTGCTTTGTTGTCCATGTCCATTGGTTATGCATACATGCATATAAGTTCTGTGGTTTATCTCTTTCCTTCCCCCACCACCCTCTCTCCTGCGGGCTGTCAGTCTGTACCCTACTTCCATGTTTCTAGGTCTACCCTATTCCTCAGACTGTTATGTTCATTATATTCCATATATAAATGAGATAATGTGGTATTTGTCTTTTTCTGCTTGGCTTGTTTCACTTAGGATAATACTTTCCAGGTCCCTCCATGTCGTCTCAAAGGATAAGAGATCTTTCTTTCTTACAGCTGCATAGTACTCCGTTGTGTATATGTACCACAGCTTTTTTATCCATTCGTCTACTGATAGACACTTGGGCTACTTTCTTTCTTTCCTTTTTTTTTTTTTTTAATCCTCACCAGAGGACATTTTCCCATTTTTTGTACAGATAGAGTGGGAGGGAGAGAGAGGAAGAGAGAGAGAGGGAAACATCGATGTGAAAGGGACACATCGAGTGGCTGCCACCTGCACGACCAACCAGGGCCGGGGACAAACTGCAACCGAGGTACATGCCCTAAGCGGGAACCGAACCCGGGTCTCTCCAGACCGCAGGCGGACGCTCCAACCGCTGAGCCAAACCGGCTAGGGCTTTCTTTCTTTTTTTTTAAAGGAAATTTTAATGGAATGACTTTGACTTGTAGGTTGTTTCAAAATGGATGCTTGAAATATATTCTTTTCTCTAAGTTGACTTCTCATTAATTTGATTTTCTTACTTTCTACGACTGTAGTGCCTATCAAATTATCAAGCTGAAGGGGTACACCTCTTGGGCTATTGGCCTATCTGTGACAGATCTGGTAGGATCAATTTTGAGAAATCTTCGAAGAGTGCATCCAGTTTCCACTATGGTTAAGGTAGGCTCAAATTGATCTTTGTTTATTATCTTTAATATTTGTTGAGTTCTTACTATGTGCCAGGCATTTTACAAGATGTTGAGAATATAATGGTGAACAAAAGACAGAGACCCTGACCTCATAGAAGTTAATGAAAAAAATGGACTTAATTAAACAATTACAAAAGTAAATATATAATAACAAATTATGCCAAGTGCTATGATGAAAAACTAAAAAGTACTAAGAGTAAACAATCAGAGAATTTAACTACTCTGGGAAGGGGGCATAGGTGATGGTTAGGGAAGTCTCCCCAAAGAAGTAAAATGTGACCTAATCCAAGTAATAAGTAAGAGTTTATTTGAGAGGCAGGACTAATATTCCAAGCAGAGGGAACACTTGTGCAAGAGAATCTGAGGTAGAGGTAAGTTGAGGACACTTGAGGATCTGAAAGAAGGTCATTTGTTGAAATGCAGAGAGTGAAGGGAAGTGCATGGTGATGGCAGAAGCAAGCAGCGTCAGGCCACCGAAAGAAAGAGGATAGGCTGAGGGGGTGGCAGCAGGTCATGGTCAGCACGCAGGGCCAGGCTGGGTCCCAGGGCCAGGGCCCTTGTTTTCAGCCCACCCAGCAGCCCGCAAATGGCATGATGGGATGGACATGCATTCTTCAGTTCTAGTCGGAGAAGCCCCGTCTAGAAGGAAGAGAGACAGAGAAAGTAGAGGGAAACAAATTCCTGGAACACGGGCAGGGAAGCAGAGGGTTTCTTTCCCCAGCCACAGTGACCTTCTTCCTGATGCCACTCAACTCTGGAAGCTTGAGTTAAAAAACTTCACCTCTGTATAACTGAATGCTAGTTCCTGGTAACTGTTTATAATCAGACCTGGAGGAAGAGCAAGACCTTCCCATTGCCTCCCCCAACCCTAGACTCAACCCCAAGGGGTGGGGTAGGAAAGAGCAATGAGTGGTGAGAGATAGGGAGGTATGAGGCATCTACTGGGTCTTGTTATCTTCCAGGGATAGTAGGGAGGAGGCAGAGACTTGTTTATGGGCATGCAGGCATTGTGTGGGTTGTGCAGGTTTTAATCGACTTTCTGGCAGCTGCTTCTGCGACCTTGGATTCAGCTGCAGTAGAGGGAACGTTAGGGCTGTTGACCAGAGGTTCACTAGGCCCAGGATAGGGCAGTGGCCATGACTGCACCTATGCCATGGACCCTGTACATCATGGGAGGTTTAGGATAGAAGTCAGGTGGAGGCAGTGGATAGAAGTATCCAGGAGGGCAGGAGTACATTCCATTGACAACTGGTGGGGACCCTCGCTTGGCATGAGAAGAGTAACCATATCCATAGGTTCCATTGGAGGTTTCACCTCTGGAGACTTGAGGTGTCATTTGTAGCATCTGTTGTCCTAAACTCAGTGGTACTCCCTGGTGTAAAGGTTAATTTATACAAAACAGAGCCTTCTCAGCCACTTCCTGCTTCAGAATTCACTGTTCCCTTGATGTAGTTTATACCAAACACAGTTCTTTATCACATAAAATGACATCATGAAGGACTGCATGGCATCCTTTCCCTTAGACAGAAGGATGACCCAGTAAGGGGTAAAGTAGACAGTGCCTTTCTTGGTCCCTTAAAGGCCTCTGGCACATTGTTCATGTTACTGAACACAAGTTCCACATGGTCATAGGAAATTAGGATGCTCTTGGTATTGTCGTTGATCACTTAACTACCCTCTGAGTGATTCTTGTACTCTGTAGTCTCTCCAGTGTACTCTTATTCTGAAGCTCTCTTGCATAGCTGCTTTCCCATGTCAGGTTACTGAACAATAATCTAATTTTGCCTTTTAGGGCTTATATGGAATAAAAGAAGAAATCTTTCTCAGTGTCCCGTGTGTCTTGGGGCAAAGTGGTATCTCAGATGTTGTGAAAGTTAACTTGAATTCTAACGAGGAGGCCCTTTTTAAGAAGAGTGCAAGCACACTTTGGGATGTCCAAAAAGACCTGGTATTTTAAAGCCTTTTAATGTTGCACTGTCATAGAACAGAAGATAACAAACTGTATATTTTACATTTTGAAAGTATTTTCATCTGATTTGAAAAATACAAAAAAACATTGGAGATCTATAGCATACTTCCAGTCTCTCAAGGCTAGAAAAAGGAAATGGTAAAGAGGTTGCTCCTCTTTTATGAATCTCTTGTAGCTCTATTCTAATGCTGCCCAACTTGTACAAATGTAAGAGTTGCTTTCAGCTTTAGTAGAATATATATAATAATCCCTTATAATATAGAACTTAAGATTTTTTTTCACAAAACAGTGAGTACTTTTTCTGGTATTGAAATTTCATCTTGTGCTTTCTTCCCTTAGGGAACCAGCATATTCACTTAATGTTGCTTCATTAGCTTCATGTGTCTATGTATAATTTTTACAGAGAACTTATTTTTAAGACCATGTATATCAGAAGGAAAATAGAAATATAACTTTGGTGTAAAAAGTTTTAAATGAAATATCTTCAATCCTGCAAGTATTATACCAGTTCATATAAATTCAAATTGTTAATTTGGTGTCTCTGTTGAAATACTACACAGGGAGCTTAGGCCATCATATATAAGTGAAAATTATGCATTGTGGAAAATAAATACAAGAAAATTTGTCTTGGTTTGTGTGATTAACTCAAACTAATGTAAAACCTGAAGCCTCTGATTTCCAACTTTCAATTTGGAAATCTGGATTACATTTCTTTCCCATTATTCTTGCTGTGTATGGTTATAAGGTCACTATGACATGATTTCTGCCCTCAAGTATCTCACAGTGAGTATTTAAGGTACATCAACAAATTGATTATTAATGAATACTTGTTGACAGTCAATTGGTAGCTCTCTCTTTGTGTCCAATGTAGGAGTGAATATGCTTCTTTTGATTTATATATGCAAATATATACATATACATGTAATATGTACATATGTATATTTCCTTGATTCTACAAAGAATAGGCAGCTGTAGGAAATATCAATGAAACAAAAACTAAGAACTCAGGACCAAGGTAATTTAGAGGGCAGCCATGCAGGCCCTGAGGACGGGCACGGCTCCAGTGCAGGCGCACCCATTTGCTAAGAGTCACAGTTCACCCTGTTATTTTTGCTATCCTAGTCATCTACTACTGAACAGGATTAGTTTCCCATTATTTTGTTCTTTTTAATTTTTAATTTTTTTATCTTCACCTGAGGACATTTTTCCATTTTTTGTTCAGATAGAGTGGGAGGGAGAGAGAGGAGGAGAGAGAAACATCGATGTGAAAGGGACACATCAAGTGGCTGCTACCCAAACGACCCAACCAGGGTGACAAACTGCAACCAAGGTACGCTCCCTTAGCAGGAACTGAACCCGGGTCTCTCTGGACTGCAGGCCAACGCTCTAACCACTGAGCCAAACTGGCCAGGGCTGTTCTTTCTCCTTTTTTATTAAAAAAAAAACACTTCCCTTGAATGCACAAAATAAGGTCATGATTGAGAGTTTAGGTAGAATGGGAGGGAAGGGGAATCCTCTGTGGCTTTTGCCTGTTTTATTTTTATTTATTATCCTCACCCGAGGACATTTTTCCTTTTTTTTTTTTTTTTTTTATTCAGACAGAGTGGGAGGGAGAGAGAGGAAGAAAGAGAGAGAAACATCGACGTGAAAGGGACACATTGACTGGCTGCCACCCACATGACCCAACCAGGGCCGGGGACAAACTGCAACTGAAGTACATGCCCTTAGCGGGAACTGAACCTGGGTCTGGGTCTCTCTGGACCACAGGTCAGCGCTCTAACCGCTGAGCCAAACTGGCCAGGGCGCTTTAGCCGTATTTAAAAAGCTCCTCTTTGGGGCCTGCTGGTGGAGGTAAGCTGTGGGGCCACCTTCCCGCACCTGCTGGTCACCTGATGGTGCGGGCTGAGCTCAGATTGGCAGCGCTGAGAGCGGGGCCGAGTGCACCATGTCGTCCGTCTGGTCTCCGTGCGCAGACTTCCCCAGATGGAAGCAACACATCTTGGAGGAGCTGAGGCGCCAGGACGGCCGCAGAGGCAGGCGTTTGAAGAGATCATCCTGCAGTAAATGACACTTACTTGCCTTCACTGAGTCCATGCTCTTAACAAAGATGGGAAGGAGAGGGAGATGGTGGCCCCTGTTGTGCCTTGTACTCAAAGGCCCTGGCAGACCATTGCTATTTCAGAAAGCCAGAAGCACAGGCTACCCCTCTTATTCAAATGTGATTCCCTAACAGATAAGTTGATGGAAAAGTCAGGCTTTCATTCAGTGCTGGCCCAGAAGCTACAAGCGGAAAAGCCAGACATACCCAACAGGTACAAGATAAGGTGTTCTGAACTGTCCTGTGTAATGTGTCCCTCCTCCTGAACTGACATTAGTCTCAGTCCAGTTGTCACTTCTCTGATTTAGAAGCAAACCAGTGCTGTTTCTGTGCTCCAGTTTTTTGTCAGCTCTTTTCAGATAAGATTCTGAAGCCAGATAACTAAAATCATTTTTTCAAAGGTACGGACCTACCTACTTTGAAGGTATCATTAGTAAGATGCTGTATGCCAGAGAAATTGTTTCAGGTGGGTAATGAGGCCAGTTCCTCCTCCAGCTAGTCAGGGTTCACATTTTCTTTTTTTTTTTTTTAATTAATTAATTAATTTTTTTTTTCTTACAGATATTTTACCTTTTTTACCCCATTGGCACCCCCCTCCCCACCCCACCCCCACCCCATCCCCGGCTTAGTTGTCCATGTCCATTGGTCATGCATACATGCATATAAGTTCTGTGGTTTATCTCTTCCCACCCCTCCACCCCCTCTTCTGAGGGATGTCAGAGGGTTCACATTTTCTAAATAATCAGACAAGTAAGCATTCTTGAGCAGACGTACCTAGATCTTGTTAATATAGGATTGCCATAAGTTGCTTTTGCTACAAAACAGATCTATTTGGTCGCTTTTAGTTCAGTGTTTTTCTTTTTCTTTTTTTTTTATCCTCACCTGAGGACATTTTTCCATTTTTTGTTCAGACAGAGCAGGAGGGAGAGAGAGGAAGAGAGAGAGAGAGAAACATCGACATGAAAGGGACACATCGAGTGGCTGCCACCCGCACGACCAACCAGGGCCGGGGACAAACTGCAACCGAAGCACGAGCCCCTAGCGGGAACCGAACCTGGGTCTCTCTGTACCGCAGGCCGACTCTCCAACCGCTGAGCCAAACTGGCCAGGGCAGTTCAGTGTTTTTCAATATGTTTTGGTAGATTGTGAAATTAAACTAATAGGTTGCAACAAGCATCCCCCCCTTCTTTAAAGAAAGATTAGGGAAAAAACATCTGCATTTTTATAGGAAGGGTGAGTATTGTCTTGTTAAATGTGCATATATGTGTTCATGATGGGGGTGTGTTTTGTTTACTTGGGTCATTTATGTAAACCATATTTCTTTTTGTGGGTCATGTCCAATAACCAGAAAGCCGTTCTTCATCAGAGCACCTTAAATGGAATCATTCTAGAGTCTTACTGTTTTCTATTTCTTTTTTTTAATTTTTATCCCCACCTGAGGACATTTTTCCATTTTTTGTTCAGACAGAGCAGGAGGGAGAGAGAGGAAGAGAGAGAGAGAGAGAAACATCGACGTGAAAGGGACACATCGAGTGGCTGCCACCCGCACAACCCAACCAGGGCCGAGGACAAACTGCATCCGAGGTACATGCCCTTAGCGGGAACCAAACCCGGGTCTCTCTGGACCGCAGGCCAACACTCTAACCGCTGAGCGAAACCGGCCAGGGCTGTTTTCTATTTCTATATGCTCACATTTGCATATATTTAATTTGATGGTTTGTATGAGAACAGTACCCATTAAAATAAATAAATAAAGGCTCCTCTTTGTACACCAAATTAAAATTTTATTTTAGGAAATCCTGGCAGAGATCGAAAAGCTGTAAATTATAGTTTCTACAGTGAGTATTCTAAGAAGTACAGCTGCTCTATATCATGTATTCTCTTTTTTTTTTTTTAATCCTCACCCGAGGACATTTTTCCATTTTTTGTCCAGGTAGAGTGGGAGGGAGAGAGAGGAACAGAGAGAGAGAGAGAGAAACATCGATGTGAAAGGAACTCATCGAGTGGCTGCCACCCGCACAACCGACCAGGGCCGGGGACAAACTGCAACCGAGGTACGCGCCCTTAGCGGGAACCGAACCCGGGTCTCTCAGGACCGCAGGCCGACGCTCTAACCGCTGAGCCAAACTGGCCAGGGCTATATCATGTATTCTCAGTGGGGGCAGTATCACCCCCAAAGGTTGAAAGTGTGTGTGTGTGTGTGTGTGTGTGTGTGTGTGTGTGTGAAAATCTTAGATATCACAAGGGTTTGGCTCTCTAAAGCACACCCTTACCAGATGAAATCTTATTACTTAATATTTAATTTCATGAGGTGGGGGAACCAAACAATTAGGGGGAAATAAGGGAGAGATAACGAAAAAAACAAGTTGATAAACACTGCCTTACATTTTATGAAATTATTTGTCAGATGTGTATTATGTATGATGATTCACAAATGAGTTAGGAAAACAGTTAATTAGCCCTGGCCGGTTTGGCTCAGCAGTTAGAGCGTCGGCCTGCGGTCCGGAGAGACCCGGGTTCGGTTCCCGCTAAGGGCACGTACTTCGGTTGCAGTTTGTCCCCGGCCCTGGTTGGTCGTGCGGGTGGCAGCCACTCGATGTGTCCCTTCACGTCGATGTTTCTCTCTCTCTCTCCCTTCCTCTCTCTCCCTCCCACTCTATCTGTACAAAAAAGAAAACAGTTAATTAGGTAGAACATAGCAGAGATGTGGAAATTGGTTTACTTCAGACTAAGGGATAAGAGGGAAATTTTGGATTCTATACTTAATGAACTGAGTTTTCTCTTCTACTTGTAGAGGTGATTATCAGCACTGCACTGATCAAATTCTTGGGGTTTCATATCTTATTTAAAAATCCCTGTTGCTGGCCCTGGCCAGGTAGCTCAGTTGGTTCGAGTTCCATCCTAATATACCATGATTACAGGTTTGCTCTCCGGTCAGGGCATTGCAAGAAGCAACCAGTGAATGCATAAACAAGTGGAACAACAAGTCCATGTTTCTT